CTTAAGTTTACTTAATCCGTTTGTGTTGGATTACATGATTGATTTGTGTTGCATAAACTGAAAGGGGGCAGTGCTGGGGGCAGTTCCCAGCATGCTTTGCATATGGTTGAATTAAGAGAGAATAAATGTTAAAATTAAGTGTTATTTTATGGAGTTTTTTTGAGAAATTTAGAAAAGGGGAAGACTTGATAGTGTGTAATAGTGTTTAATGTTGAATTAAATTGGAATTATTAAACCATTTAAATTACAGTGGGTTACCATTGTGGGGAAGAGTGGAGCATTTTATTTGGATGTCGACTGATTTTATTAATTTTTATCCACAAGTTTCCGAGGGGCGCTCCTGTAAAAAATAAAGTGGGTGAAACTTCCGGTGACGCGGCGGAAGTAGCATTCCAATGGTATTTTGTGTGTAAGTTAGCGAAGAGGCTAGCTGTTTTTCTGAGAATTATTTTACTATTTAAAGACGCAAATCTTTATGAGAGATGTCGTTACGGAGCTCAGGGACAACATGTGCTGTTCGCGGTTGTATGTATAACCGGACTAAACTAATTCAGTGGCTTAAACGTGATTGTTTTGAACATAAGCTGAAAACGAAATCAGAGTGATCCTGACAGAGCCCGTCTTCTGATCCTGCCAATGACTGTAGTTTCCATCACCTCTCAAAAGACGACGAATCTTCCTGTGTACATTTGTTTAAATTCTTAATGTTCTATAAACTCTATCAGCATGTGATTGGCTGTTCGCTACTGATGTTACAGCTAAACTCAGGATCAAAGCCTGTGTTGACCGAATACCAAATGTGCCAGTTAATGTATTCAAGCAGCACATTCATTTATAATTTTGAATAAACTCCAAAGCACAATGACTAAGTGTGTATTTTTTATTTTAATTGTTTGTCAGCTCGCACAACTGTCTGTCACCATGCCTTGATGAGTATTGATTATTAATAATGTTATTATAATACTCCCAATCAACTACTGCGGAGGGTAAAGGGACTGTTATTTCACCCTTTTGAATTTCGTTGAGGTTGTGTTCCCACATCGTTAGCTAGTTTGGATCACTATAACTTGAATGACTGTCAACTGTTGAATGAACGAGTGTCAAGCATGTCAAATCGCCCTTTGTTTACTTCCAACCGGAAGTCGCGCCCACTTTTGACGCAAGGCCTCATGGGGCATAGGAAACTTGTGGATATCTTTGGATGAAGGAGCATGTAAATCTTAACAAGCAAGATACTAATATGTGCTACTACTAGCAAATAGCTAGCTAAAGTCTAGGTTATCAATTTTATTAAATGTCACTGAATTAAATAAAATATAAATGGTTGAATGAATGTAATAAAATGCCTGAATCATGTAAGAAAGCCTTTCATGTTGAGACTACTTAAATTGAGTAAATTTAAATTACTTAATTCCATGATGTTGAAGTTACATGAACAAATTATGTTCGTTTAACATAATCCAGTTATGTGGAACCTGTTGACGGAAAAAAAAAATGTAATTAAAGCCAACATATAATTTTTTTTAGAATGGAAACCGATCAAAGTTAGCCATCTTGAAGGACATCTCAATTCTTGCACCAAGAGAAGGCGAGGAACAAAGAGTGAAGAAGCTTCCTGAGGAGTCATGAGCGAGGATACAGGGGTGAAGCTGTTTACAAGAGAACGCTCACGGGTGAAAATGTAAAATATTTTATCGAATGTGCCTTTCGTTTACATGGTGACGGCGTTTTGGGGGCTTAAAAACGCAAAAAAGTGAAACGACCCTCCAGAGTGGAAATCTTAAAAAACACTCCACCGTCGCGTTCTGGATGCAATGAGTAGTAGAAACCCCATGCAAAGTTAAGCTTCATCTTTGAAGTAGTATGTGAGCTATGAGGTGAAACACTAACCTGTGGTTTCAGAGATGATGATTTCGTGTAATTGATAAATAAATCTCATCGACAGCATTTGTTCATGATGTCATCCTCAAGCAAGGGGACTTCTCTGCAGAAATGAAAGCGATGTAAGAAGACAGTGATTGAGCTGTTGAACTCTGCAGGAGTGTATTCAAATAAACCAGTTTACTAGTGTGTGTTACTTGCAGATTGTGTTAGCAGCAGGGCAGGGAAACGGTTATCATCAGTTTAAACTTTAAAATGAAATATTGATAAAGAAAAAGGAAAGATTTTAAACTTAAAATATGTTGACATTATTATTTTAATTTGGCAGATGATGTTGGCCGCAGTTTTTTACCCAAGCTGGATCACTGAATGTTTCATGAGTGTAGCCTATTAATATTACACTATTAATTATTATTAATTATATTATAGTTAAGCGTGTTTTACATTTTAATGTTTAGGTTTAGGTAATTGTGCAGAAATAATCCCAAATGAATCACTGTTTTTCTGAGTGTTGGTTGAGTGTTTCCTAATGGTTTCGAAAAATTTCGCCTATCAACCACATTTTTGTTCTTATAAATTAACATTTTCACATTGCTCATTTTAAACCAAACTCAATCAATCAAGAAAGAAAGACTTTAGTTCATTTTTAAGAAATTTTTAAAACAAACATTTTAAATCATTCACAGTAAGTAGCCTATCTCCTCAGTTAACAATTATATGGGCAGTTCAAACAGGTGTAGTAACCCAAGTGTGAATGAGACACAATGTTGAACAGCCTCTGTATTGCATTTCAGGTCTTCATTCAAACAATATGTATGAGATGATTCAGTTACAGTATGAGCTGCACTTGTGCTTATTATGGCAGTACAGGTGCCAAAAGGATGAGCCATTACTCATATTTTTATTGCAGATTATTTAAAAATTTGTATGGATTTCTATCAGTTACAATTGCATTCATCTGTGTAGAAATAACAACAACAACAATAATAAATCATATTTGGCACAGTAACAGTTATATACAGTTGTATTCCAACAGAACAGAAAGTCAAACCTCACTAGTGCACTGTTTACAATTACTTTCGAGCATATGATCATGCTCTTAAATGACGCACCTTGAGCCATTAGATGATTTCAGAAGATTGTTTAGTTGTCAAACAAATATAACCAACAGCGCCATCTAGCGTTTTACAATAGTTGTCACTAGATGGAAAACTCACTATTTTCGAAATACAATTTTAAAAAACATGCTGTGATGACTGTGACTCTTTGTTATTAAAACATTACTACCACAAACAATAGAAATATATTTGCAATATTATATTTTTTATACATTATACAATATTATATATTATATATAGCCTACATAGTTACATACACATTTAAACTGGAACTGCAAAGAAAATACTGCTGCATTGAAACGGTGTGATAGAGACTTTTTTTTTTTTTTTTTTTTTGCAGATTGAAAAATGTTTTGGACCTTGAAATAAAAAAGTAAAACAAAACAATCACCTGTACTGGCCTGTAGATTGTGATATCTCTCCAGCAGAGAGCGCAATAGCTTAAGCTATCATAATAGCAGATAGGCCTATACAAGTTTATATATTTTTTCAAGTTTATATCAGATGCACATGCAAAAATGGGTCTTTTTACTGCATTATCATTAACCTGATCTTTGCACGGTGACTGTCTGCAGGGTTTTTAATAATGACAGTAATAAAACTTTATGGCCCAGGAAGTTAAAGCCAGGCCTGTGCTCTCCTGGCACAGATGAAGTGTCATATGCTGTGGAGTCTAGAATATGGCCATATGTTACTGGAAATCCACCAGCCACTGCCTGACATTAAAGCAACATACAACAGTTGTGTTCAGATTAATGTTTAGAAACTTTCCTAAAACAGAGTCTCGTTTGTTTATTTGTCCTCTAACAATGTCTAGAAATATAGGCTACACTCATCACATGAGAACTGTCACCGTGGGTATTTTATTTCTTTAATATAATTTATTCTTTGGTGCAAATGTCATTTTAAAGATTTTTAATAAAATGTGGCCATTTTATATTGCTAAGGCATTCATAACTATCATTGTATATATCATTTATACACACAATTAAACAATATCTTCACACTTATTTGACAAAATGTGTATTATATTTGTCCAAATTAAAGCATGATTTGGGAGGTGATGTACACAAATACTATATTTACCTGGCTTTTTCTTTGTTTTCTCCACAAGATACATGAAATCTCCACAAATCTATAATCTCTTCACTAAGAAATTTAGGGGGAAATATAGATAATTTTCACAACAATAAATATTGAATGTAATATTTCTCTCTTTGTTTAGAACAGTATTATAAATGTAACATTTTATCATTGTTATTCTTATATTCTTATACTAGCCTATATCATTGTTTTATCATTATAAAATAATATTTAATATTATTAGAAAACTTTTTAAAATAATAAAGAAATGACTTTGTATTGCTAGCATTTCTCAAGATTAATCGCTTGTTGTACCTTACATTTGTAAGTCGCTTCAGAAAATAAATATGGCTGTGCAAAGATTAATTACGATCAATCCCATCCAAAATAAAAGTTTGTGTTTACATAATATCTGTGTGTGTAGAGTCATAGTGTATACTTATTTTGTATATATAAATACCCACACATGCATGTATATATTTAAGAAAATGTGTTAATATATAAAATATTTATATTTTTATATAATATTAATTATGTATAAATTTACATGCAAATAATTCGAAAATATATACATGCATGTGTGTATTATTTATATATACAAAATAATTATACAAACTACACACACATATGTAAACACAAAGTTTTATTTTGGATGCGATTAATCGTGAATTAATATTTGCACAGTCATAAATAAATGAAAAATAAACGTGAAAAATGAAGGCAATTTTAATGTGACAGGATCATAGACTGTAAAAAAAGATTTAACACAATATAACATAATATAATAGGATATAACACAAATACAAACTTTGAAATCTAATAGTCAAGTCAAGTCTTATTTGTATCCATCCCATTACTCAGTATACTAGGCTGGTAGGCTCCCATACAGCCGGACACGAGACAGACCCGTCAGACTGGTCTAATAACCGCTTGGTGCCGCCTGTGGGAGAAACGCGGAAGAAGAGTTCATTCAAGGCGTCTGGTAAATCGCACGTACAGGACACACACACACGTACACGAGTTTCCCCCGGTAAACATGCCATCGTGAAGCTTCTCCAATGCGCCCTCGCGTTTTCCCTCTCATTCCCAGCGGTTTCGAGTGGAGATGTCTGGACACACAGCACTGCATGGACTGATACTCTTATATTCAATTCACCCGCTCGTGCTCGCAGAGAAACCGGGTAAGTGAACAAAAACACGGCAGATGATCGGAAACAAAAGAGTCTGTTTGCTGAGGCGTCAGAGGTTTACTGCTGGGGGGATTTGAGTTGTTTGGTTACAGCATGCATTTATGGTTGTTGCATATCATCGTAAGTATAGCATACACGTACAATTGCTCCCGTGGAGTTATTAGTTAATGTTTCAAAGTTTGTTACATGAGCTTCAGATCCTGTTATCTCTTGAGCGCAGTGCGTTTCATTTTGAGTTCTTCCAATGGATTAAAATCTAAAACGTGTATTTTGGCTTACATAGGCTACAACATGCGCTACATGCTTATGTGTTTATGATTAGTTTCGTGTTGCATGTGTTTCTCATATAAACTGTGGTACCTTTTAAAGTTAAAGTTGATATCCTTAAATTTTAGATATGGACGGTGAATAAGATATTTGATGTCAAATTTGGCTCATTATAAAATGTGCTGACTGAATAGTAGCCTACATGTAGTGCTGACACAACATGCTGGTGGTGCCTGTCCATAAAGACAACTTTCCCTCGGAATACTCTCACTGTGTGTGTAAGTCAAAGTGTCTCTGGATGGTCAAAGCAGCATCTGATCTGCATTGTGTAAAAACATGTAGCCTATCTTTGGTGTAGGATGTTAGTGTACAGACTAGAGGTCTTTTTACTGCTGGGATATTCCTTTAGGACTCATTTTTAATTCAGTTTACAGAGACCATAACACTGGTTTGGAGAAACATTTGGTTATTAAAGGAACAGTTCAGCCAAAAAACAAACTAAAAAAAGGTCAATGTCTATTCCCAGAACTTTTATTATGGAACACAAATCGAGAAATTTTAATGGTTGCGTCTTTATACAATTGCTGAAAGTAGGGATTGAGGTTGTCAGGAATGTAAAAGCATAAAAAAAAACTTCCTTATGACCTTTATAAATAAAGAAGATGACATGACTCGTGAATTGTAATTTCCAAGACTTTCATTCATCTTCGGAACACAAATGAATATTTTGATTTGGAAAAAATGAAGATATTTTTACTGATCTGAGAGCTTTCTATCCCTCCATAGACAGCTATGCAACTACCACTTTGATGCTTCAAAGAGTTCATAAAGAGATTGTAAAACTAATCAGAATGAATTGAGGAGTTTAGTCCAAATTTTCTGAAGAGACCTGATCACTTTTTATGATGAACAGATTGAATTTAGGCTTTTATTCTCATATAAACATTGATCAGCACTTAGAAGTTCAACCAAACTTGCAAGAACAAACTTCATTGGTTGTCGCACGTCAAGCGAACATCCTTGAGCTTCCATTTACCGCGATCATGTTTTTTCTGAGAAATTTTAACTAAACTACTCAATTCTCATTTTGTTTTCCATTCAAGATGGGAGTGACTAAATAATGACCAAATCTTTCATTTTGAGTGAACTATTCATTAAAGTGTTTCAGTCAACCATGGTATTACTCCCCTTAATGAAGTCATTCTTTTTGTATTATAATTGTTTATCCAAGAGTTATTACTTTTCGGCAGCATTCTTGCTAAGCACAGTGTTTTTGATTGTACATTACACTTATAAAAATAATGGTTCTTTAATTGACATTAATGGTTTCATGAAGAACAAAACATCCATGGAATCTTTCCATTGCATGCAAGGTTCTTTATTTAGAGTGGTAAGAAGTTTCATCACTAAAATTTAATTCTGGGAACCTAAAATAGTTCTTCTATAGCATCACAAAACCAAACCCCCTTTTAGAACCTTTATTTTTAAGTGTATCACAGACTAAATTGAATATCCTGCTAGTGTGAACCCATAACTGGTGCATGTTAGGAGACAGTGGGATTGTCTGTACATGCAGAACTCTCTCTGTTGTGAATATTTGTGCTCCACCCTGGGGCAGACGATTGCCAGGTGTTCCTCAACATCCTGAAAGAGCTGGTTTCAGAAGCTCCATGTTTTTCCCCATTGGAATGAATGCAAAAGTGAGCTACAACTGCTTTTGGTCATTTTGAATAAATATTATTTTTGTCATCTACTTTGCTGAAATTTGTAATAAATAACCCAAAATATTATTTTACTGTGTTGTCGTTGTAGCTTAGTTTGTTTGCATGGCCATGATTAACATGTGAAGTCATTCCTCTACACCTGCCTTGAGGTTTCCATCCATCATTTCTTTTTTTTTTTGCACGACACAGCCCTACATCTGGATGGAGTTCAGATGCCACCACAAAGGCCACTGTGTGTCCGCGAGTATTTAGCACTGACGTAGTAGCAGCTGAGGTCAAAGAAAGCATTTTTGGGTTAGTGTGGGCGAATGTTCCCTTAGAAAAACACTGGTGCTATTTATAGCATTAGTCCTGTTTCATTCCTTGTGTCATTTAAAGAATGCCTTCAATGTCACAAAACTCTGAGGTCTCTGAGTTTGTTGTATGCATACATCAGCGCCAAGTTCCTGAGTGGCTGCTGGAGACTCAGCTGTCTGGAAGGAAAGGAGGAGTTGGTGGTGCCATCACAGGTGTGAGTGCCTTTACCATGGGAGACAGTGACATAACGGAGCCATAACATATCAGCGAACAGTAGTCTTGACAATATATGCACAAATGCGCATATACATGCGCTAACCCCCCAGCGTGGGAGTTCTTCACCCTGGGATCATCCACAAGACTTGTGTCCGGCAGCTGACATTTTCTAACACCACCTTTGTCACTGATCTATAGACGCATGTCTTCACCATGTGACTTCATCTCACAATTCTTAGTTTATATCTCACAATACAGACTTTTTTTTTTAAAATATGAAATGTGAGATGTAAACTGTGAATGAATTCTGAGAAAATTTTGTTTTTAAGTTTGAAAACTTTAGTCTCCATGAGGACTAAGTTCATGGTAAAGAGCATAAAGTACAATTCTCATTTTGTTTTCCATGGAAGAAATAAAGTCATGGGTTTGGATTTGGAACTAAATGGGAGTAATTTAATAATGACCAAATGTTTATTTTTGAGTTAACTATTTCTTTAAGTGTCAAAGGATGAAATGAAAAAGTATTGCACTATTTTATCTCACAATTCTGACTTTTTCTTGCAATTCTTAGTTTATATCTCACAATTCATTTTTTAAATATATAAACTCAATTTGAATTACTAGAGGTAAACTGAGAAATCTGAGGTAAAAAGTATGAATTGTGAGATGTAAACTGAGAATTCTGAGGTAAAAAGTATGAATTGTGAGATGTAAACTGAGAATTCTGAGGTAAAAAGTATGAATTTGCTAGATAATTCTTCTAAGGTAAAAAGTATGAATTGCTAGATGTAAACTGAGAATTCTGAGGTAAAAAGTATGAATTGCAATATGTAAACTGAGAATTCTGAGGTAAAAAGTATGAATTGCGAGATGTAAACTGAGAATTCTGAGGTGAAAAGTATGAACTGTGAAATGTAAACTGAGAATTCTGAGGTAAAAAGTATTAATTGCGAGATAATTCTAAGGTAAAAAGTATGAATTGCAAGATGTAAACTGAGAATTCTGAGGTAAAAAGTATGAATTGCGAGATAATTCTAAGGTAAAAAGTATGAATTGCGAGATGTAAACTGAGAATTCTGAGGTAAAAAGTATGAATTGCGAGATAATTCTAAGGTAAAAAGTATGAATTGCAAGATGTAAACTGAGAATTCTGAGGTAAAAAGTATGAATTGCGAGATGTAAACTGAGAATTCTGAGGTAAAAAGTATGAATTGCGAGATGTAAACTGAGAATTCTGAGGTAAAAAGTATGAATTGCGAGATGTAAACTGAGAATTGTAAGGTAAAAAGTATGAATTGCGAGATGTAAACTGAGAATTCTGAAAAGTATGAATTGCGAGATAATTCTAAGGTAAAAAGTATGAATTGCAAGATGTAAACTGAGAATTCTGAGGTAAAAAGTATGAATTGTGAGATGTAAACTGAGAATTCTGAGGTAAAAAGTATGAATTGTGAAATGTGACCTGAGAATTCTGAGGTAAAAAGTATGAATTGTAAGATGTAACCTGAGATTTCTAAGGTAAAAAGTATGAATTGCGAGATGTAAACTGAGAATTCTGAGGTAAAAAGTATGAATTGCGAGATGTACAGTAAACTGAGAATTCTGAGGTAAAAAGTATGAATTGTGAGATGTAAACTGAGAATTCTGAGGTAAAACGTACTATGAATTGCGAGATGTAAACTGAGAATTACGAAATTCAGTTGTGAGATATAAACTACCAATTGTGAGATATAAACTCCCAGTTGCGAGGAACAAAAACTGAATTGTGAAATGAATTTAGGCTACCTTTGGTTTTTTTGATTAAGTGGCAAACAATCTTCCATTACTCTTATTTAGAAATGATATTTCCTCTCTAAATGTGCTGTATCGTCTTTTCTTCTAATTACAAAACTTATAGTAGTAGATGTTTCTTCTGGTCCTTTGACTTCTCTAAGTAGTGTGTGCATGTTGAAACAATGAGTTAATTAAACTTTCTGCTTGCTGAAATTATATAATTTGGTTTATGTTAGGTTGACATGCGTCTTGTTGAGTTCATGCAATCTTTACAGTCAGACACTTGTGTGCGCTTTGAGTCTTACTTGCCCTTATATAACATTGTGGTTTGATCTTCAAGAGAGAACACGTCTGAGGCTCGTGTCAATATAATAGTGTCTTTTCAAATTTGGGAATAAGCTTTAAAAACATTACTGGTACCAAACTGAATTGCAAAAATATTGAACATAGGAGACTTAAAAGTACTAAACATTAAAATGTTGGTCTTGTTCTTCCTGGGTCTGAATTCACCATGCTTAATTACAACAAATTCTCATATTATTTTTTACAGATGATGGCTGTGGTCATTATGTCCTGGGCCAGGAGAGTGGTGTCCTGTCCTCCAAGAATTACCCAGGAACTTACCCCAACAACTCCTGGTGTGAATGGCGGATCCGCGTACCCATCGGCCACACGATCATCCTCAAGTTTGGAGACCTGAACATGGAGAAGAAGGACTGCGAGTCAGACTATTTAAAGGTTCTAAAAGGATCATATGGGGCGGAAAATGGTAAGCCTTTTCAATCATTTATGCGATGAACATGCTGTGTCATAATGTTTTCTCAGCCATTATCTTGTAGTCACTAGATCATGTGACTGGGCCAAACAGTATATGACCATAATATATTCTCAGTGGCAACTCATGGCACAGGTTCTTGTGTTTTAATGTCTTTATCTTTTGTCTTAGTGCATCAGGGTTTCCTTGTGTTTGATTAATGGAAAGTAAGATGGGTTACGTTATTCCTGTTGTCTAAGTTTTATCTATTGCTTTTTGACAGCTGTATTTGAATTTAAAGGTGAAGTTTATCACCAAACATACAAACAGGTTTCCCAATCCTCTATTGGTTGGATATAGATCTAGTCCTACCCCAATCTGATCCTGTTGATTGATACAATATTGCTGTGTTGGGCAGAAACAGAATTGAACAGAACATTTAGAAATCTAATTTAAGCCTGTGCAACATCTTGACGCAATCATATTGAGATATCGTTGATCATATGCTCTTGAGTCAGTTTAACCTCATCTAGATCACATTACTGTGAGTAAACATGAGTAAAGCACTTTAAATCAGAGCGTTACCATGAGTCGGCACCAGTCACGCATTGATAAATGTACTGTAAAGCAAGAGGAAACCACAGAGGCCAGTGTGTCAGAGGATGTTTTAAGTATGGTGAAATGTTGGCACTTCTGCCTGTTTCCTTAAGGATATTTTCACTTGTTATCTCCCATTTAATCTTTCTTTTCAAATGAGCTTGCTGTTTTTGTAATTTATTGCTGTAAATGTAATTGCAGATGCAGTCTGATGCTTTTTGAACAGGAAATGTGCTCAAATTCTGACGTATAGCTTTGCAAGTTTTTCCTAGTACAAATGCTTTTCCATTATTAAGATAAAAAGACAATTCATATCACTCATTTAAGTTATATTTTCCTGATTGCTAAAATATGACCATTGGTTATATCCAGGGGTTAAATTGTACATTTTTTTTAATGATCGGCAGTTTTTGAATTAATTCCATTTCTTGTATTTGCCAGTCTTTTTTTGTTTGTTTCTTGTTTGATCCATTCCAACATTCTGAATTCCCAGGGGTTAAATTGGGCAAAAATGTTCCAGAATGGAATTTTGGTACCTTTGATAAAAATAAATAAATAATTGTATTAGTTTTTGGAATTAATTCCATTTCCTGTATTTGCCAGTCTTTGCTTGTTTGTTTGTTTGTTTGTTTAATTCATTCCAACATTTAAAAATGCTTTAAAAAATGTATTTACATTAGGCATTATGCTTATGTCTAGTCATTGGCTGGCCCTGGTAGAAGTGAGAAATTCATCACTAGGTGCCAGTGGGTAATTTCATTCACAGTGTTACAGATGTAACCTGGGGTTATATGTGGATTTTGGAGAGAACGGGGATGCTTTAACTGTTCTCTCCAAAATCAATATACAACCCCAGGTTACATCCGTAACACTGTAAATGAAATTACCCAACTACTGTTGTTTTGTCAATTATGGATGGAGAGGGAGAAGGATATTGTAGCGCTTTACTCAAAGTGAATGGGCTGTTCTCTTTTATTAGCCTATCATCTTTCAGCCCTGGACCTGAGGTCTCTTTTGGTCATCATTCTCAAAAAAGATTTATTGCCTTTCTTTTTGTGCACACATAGATGATTAACTTTGGATACATTATTTTCCTATCTACATTTGAAATGTTGTTCTGATAAACCAGAGCAGTGGGTGATTTTATTGATTAACCATTGGGTTAATTAACTGTGTTGACAATTAACAGTGATTTTATTTTTATTTTTATTAGGGGCAAAAATCCTTGATTATGCAGCACATTTTCTTAAAAAATGCGATGGGATATTTATGAAATTTTATGCTAGGAAATTGCGGGAACTTGCAAAAACTTAAACAAACATGAAAATTTGCAAGAGCAACAAGAGATTTGAAGCTTATGGCAGACGTGCCCAATAGATGATTCGCGCTGTGATTGGCTGAATGTTAGTTCACTCAAGTCTAAGTAACAAATCAGAGAACATGGGCGGAAATAGTGGTGCTATGTCAAAAAAAAAGAAAAATGCGGGGGACAGAATCACCTGTTTCTAAAAGTGCGGGGGACGTGTCCCCCCGGTTGTTACGCCCCTGGCCTGGAGGACATGAATCTTCCCACACTATGTCTGGTTCCTCCCATGTCAACCCTTTTAACCACAAGCGCTGTCATGGTGTCAGAGTCGAGCCTCATCCACATTCACTGATCAAAGCGTCCTGCAGTGGAACGACTGGAATTCCTCTCAGAGCGATTCTTAAACAGTTGTTGAGAGACATGCGATGACTAAAGCTTTGTGTTGATGCAGAGTTTGACACATTCACACTCCTTATTAGTGTTTTGACCCATTATGTTTTATAGATTAAAGTGTTTTGATTCCCGTCAGAGCTTATCAGAAACTCCTCTGTGTAGGACGTGTCATCCTTCAGTCAGCAGACATGTCTTACATTTTCCCCCCCAAAAAACACAATTTCTGCATTCTTGGTTTCATAAAGACTTCTACACCTTTCTTTTATGGAGACTAGAGACTGTTGATTGAGAAGACATTCAGAGTTAGCTTCAGAACTGTGCCTGATTGTTATTTATTTTCAGTTTTTTGATAAAAAAAGCTTGATTTAAAGCAATTTACATTTATATTTTTTATTGACATTTGACAGTTAAATTTGTGCAAGTATGTATTCATTTATTTATTTATATGAATTTTTTTAAGTTATCGGCTAACTGGCTGTTTTTTTACTCTTCTTACAATGTTTTTTTTACAAGTTTGTTAAGTTTGATCTGATTTGTACCTCACTGCTAATACCTCAGTTTGATTCTAAGTCCTAATCTTTTATTAATTAATGAATACATTTCCTTCCATTTCACCTAGTGTACTGGGAGTACTGCGGGGGTCCGATGCCCAAGCCTACGCAGATTCACACAGACTCCAGCGAACTGACTGTCCGCTTTCGTAGCAGCCAGCACATCTCTGGAAGAGGATTCCTGCTGTCATACTCCACAGAAAACCACAAAGGTATTTTTAAAGGGGAGTGGGGGGTTGTACAATGGTGTTTCATGTGTTCAGAGTTGTTTACAGTGTTAAAGAGATGGATTCTCATGGTAAACATGGCCACAGTTTAAAAAAAAAAATATTTTGGACGAATTTCTGTGCCGAAAGTCTTACTTACTCTATCTATCTATCTATCTATCTATCTATCTATCTATCTATCTATCTATCTATCTATCTATCTATCTATCTATCTATCTATCTATCTATCTATCTATCTATCTATCTATCTATCTATCTATCTATCTATCTATCTATCTATCTATCTATCTATCTATCTACCTATCTATCTATCTATCTACCTATCTACCTATCTACCTACTATAAATATTATAAAACTAAAGTCTTTTTTGGAGATATGAAGGATGCAATACTACTCTATAGGTACTCAAGATTAACATAAGATTGACTGAAACTGAGTCGTCCACATCTTTAAAAGACAAGTTTGAATAATACTAAATCAAAAGCAATATTAAAAACGGATCCAAAAATGAAAGTTCTGTCACAGCGCATATCCTGCAATGTTGCCCGAAAATGTCCTTGTAATTCCCTTCAACCTTTCCGAACGTTATGAAAGATTATTTTATGGAAAGTTTGAGTGGTGGTGTATGTGTGTGAGGAATTGGAAGAAAGCAGAATACGGGTGTTTCTAAAGCACACTCAGCATCATTGCGCATCTGGTTAAAAACTAAACTCAGATTTTTTTTTTTTGTCTCCCACCCCTACACACCAACACCAATTTTTACTCTAATTTGTCACTTGGTGAGGCCTAAATTTAACACAGACACATGCACACATATAAATATTCATTTTTAGAGCTTGACAGTCTGGGGTCATAGTCTGTGACTTTTTCATGTGAGCATGAGTGAGGTTTATATCCAAGTATGTATATGTTTCCATCCCAGATATGGTGCAGGAAGTAGGTCTGTCATCCTGTTGTGATGCTTATGTCCTGTTGTTCTTGTTTTTGTTGAGTCGGAGGGCCTGTTTCCTTTGTGTTCATCTGCTCCATTTTTATCCTCATTGTGTGTCCTCCTCTGCTTTCCTCCTCAGAGCTGCTGACATGCTTGGACAGAGGCAGTCATTTCACAGCATCACAGTACAGGTGAGAGTGAGTGTGTGTTGGGATATAGATGTCTCAAAAAGCTAAAGGGGTGGTTTATTATGATTTTACTTTTCTAACTTTAGTTGGTTTGTTATGTTGCTGTTTAAGCATAATCAACATCTGCAAAGTTACAATGCTCAAAGACTGACGATTTTAACATGCTATATAAAATTTCTTAGACGTATTTTGAGCTAAAACTTCACATACACACACTAGGTTACATCAGAGACTTATTTTACATCTTGTGAAAAGGGCATTATACCACCCCTTTAAACTTACACAAGTTTCCCGATATAGCTCTATCTATCTATCTATCTATCTATCTATCTATCTATCTATCTATCTATCTATCTATCTATCTATCTATCTATCTATCTATCTATCTATCTATCTATCTATCTATCTATCTATCTATCTATCTATCCATCTAGATAGATATAAGTGTGTATATAAGTTTATAGTGTGTATATATAGATATAAGTGTGTGTATCCAAGTATATATACAGTATATATATATATATATATATAGTCAAAAAATAAAAAATAGCTATATATTAACAATACAAATAAAAATTACATAAATATATCATAATTTATATATATATATATATATATATATACATATACATATAAAAACATAATATAAAAATGTATATATATTGTAATATATATATAAATACACACTGTAAAAAAATCATAATTTGTTATCATAACGTTTTTTCTTCTCTCAAATCAACTTAGATAATTTATGTGGTTCAGATAACATAGATAATATTTTGAGTTTCTGATTATTAAATCAGTCTCCATTGTATTAACTCAATTTTTCAAGTTCAATGAACTTAAAGTTTTTAGGCAACCAGGTTACTTTCATTTTTTTAGTTAAACCAAACCAAACCAAGTTAAACCAACAATACTTTTTTACAGTGTGTATATATATATATATATATATATATATATATATATATATAATATATATATATATATATATATATATATGTATATATATATATATATATATATATATGTATTTGTACAACAATAAAAATAAAATAATGTCATCAAAAATGATTCACAGAAATGTATCTCATGACTCGTGAGGTAAAGGAGAAATATAAAAGAAATAAAATGACACACTCTTTTGGGAAATAAAAAAATGAAAAGGCTTTTAAATCAGAAAAGCATTGTGAATATTTTGTTTATATTGCCCAGACATATCTGAAACTATTCCTTTGAAATATATCCAAGCCACAAGACATTACGAAATACAAAATGAACCCTGGGCAGTAGTCACAGTTTTCCAGACTGTATCTCATTGCATTAGTGCTTATAATTTTAGTTCCTCACTCAGCTATTATCGAGACACTATCCTTTTGCTTTATCTATCACCGTCAGCTATAATTAACTGACATGCTGTAAGCAGATATTTGTCTTTGTTCTGGCCCTGTGTAGGAAGTACTGTCCGGCCGGATGTGCAGCGGTGACGGGAGACGTGTCTGGGGACATTTCCCTGGGCTACAGACATGTGAGTAGCGTCTCATTGTTTTCCTCAGGTGTGGGTGGCATGCTGCAGCTCATTTCGCATCCGCAGAAGAGAGCACTAGCCAAGCTGCGGGGTTATTTACAAGGCCGACTTGCATCCAAGCAGATGCTCTGCGGGGTGCTTCCCAAAAAAGGTTTCAGATGCAACAACTCAGCCAAGAAAAGCGGCTGCTCTAAGCAGATTTTCCCACAGGTGCTCAGGCCTCTAGGGCCTTCACAGGGAATGTTAAGCGGGCCGGCAGTCGGGGGTGGAATGCGCTAATGGCTCGTCCCATTGTCTGTCAGGCATTTGTTGTGACAGGACTTGTGTGTACGAATGTGTGGACACCCCAAGGATACGCAGTGACGGGTCATTTGCTCTGGCTCCATTGTTCTCCCTGGTCACTTAGTGGGCAGTGAACTCTGAATGAAAGGCGTTTATGTAATTGTTCATACCTCTCCAGCGAATCGGGGTCAGAGCTTTGGGTTACTTGAGGTACTGGCCGAACAGCCACGGATAGTTTGATGTGGAATGAATCATGCGCTTTGGCTTTGAGCTATAACTCAAGATGTTAAGGGCTTTTCTGAAGGATTTGCGTTGTGGTAAAATCTCTTCCTGTTTGTGAAGGCTAAGCTGGTCGAGCTTTAGGTGTCACTGCAAGTTCTGGTTGTGGGGGTAATTAAAAAAAGGCCTTTTCAGTTAAACCGAATGTTTGTTGCATGTGCATAGCTTAACCTCTTAAAAACCAAAAGTAGAGTAGAACAAACCTTGCTGATCATTGTGGGAAGGGAAACTGTTGTGTTGAAGTAGCAAAAATACTTTCAGGTACAAAAGTCTGGGACCACAAGTGAAAATGCTTTTATTTTGTAATTTTCTAAGTTGATTTTATTTTTGAATATGACTAGGTGGTTCTGGACCCCAACAATCATGTAAAAATAAGGACAAAAATTTTAACAATGAATGTAGTTATGATCTAAGAAATACATTTTTGATGTATACTTCTAGTTTGTTGTAATTAAAATGTTTAATACTTAAAGTTTTTTTGAAAGAAATTCATACTTTTATTCAGCAAGGACACATTAAATTAATCAAAAGTGACAGTAAAGATTTATATTGTTTCATTAAAATATTATATATCAAGTAAATGCGGTTCTTACTTTCTACTCATCAAAGAATCCTGAAAAATGCAGTTTCCATAAAAATATTAAGCAACTATTTTTAATGCTGAGCAGCAAATTATCATATTAGAATGACTTCTGATGGATCATGTGACACTGAAGACTGGAGTAATGATGCTAAAAAGTCAGCTTTGCCATAACAGGAATAAATTACATTTTAAAGTATAAGTGGAAATATTTGTATAAAATATTATTTTAAAATGTAATATTTCACAATACTACTGATTTTAATTTGTGATATACACTGCCATTTTAAATGTTTGGCAACTGTAAGATTTTAATGTTTATTTTTTTTTTTTTACACCAAGACTGCATTTATTTGATTTAAAAATACCAACAAAAAAAAACTCTAATATTGTGAAATATTGCGATTTAAAATAACCATTTTCTATTTTAATATCTTTTAAAATGTAATCTATTCAAAGCTGAAATTTCAGAATGAAATTTATCAAAATCTTGTTAATACATTTGTAATGTTACAAAGTATTCTATTTAAAATAAATGAAATTGAACTTTCTATTAAAATATCAAAATATTTTGTCCACAACTGTTTTAAACATTGATAATAATAAATGAATGTTTTTTTTAACAATCAAATCATCATATTAGAATGATTTCTGAAGGATCATGTGACACGGAAGACTGGAGTAATGATGCTGAAAATTCAGCTTTGCACCAGAGAAATAAATTATATTTTAAATGTATTTAAATAGAAAATGGTTATTTTAAATTGTGATAATATTTAACAATATTACTGTTTGTATTTTTAATCAAATAAATGCATCCTTGATGAGCATTTGAGACTTCATTTTTAAAACATAAAAAATCTTACAGATCCCCAAATTTTATATATATATAAAATTTTGGGATCCAGTTGGATATATATATATATATATATATATATATATATATATATAAATTGGAGGGTAAATAGAACGGGAATAGACTAAAAGATGTAAAACACAAAGGAAACCACAAAATGCACATTCTGGTTGTGGGAAAAGTCCAGAGTATCAGAGCGTGACTATCTCTCTGTATTGTATTTTACTAATGATACATTTCCACTGACTAAAGTGATGGTAGGAGGAACGCTCTCTGCTTTAAGTTGTCCTAACCCCTATCACGGATCACGGACTTTCAAGAAAGACAACAGACACACGGCTGCAGGCTCAATGCTCACACAACAGGGTCTTAAACGCCAATGGAAGACAAGGGCACGCATTTCCACCCCGCTGCCATCTGCTTTGATATGCGAGTGTGAAGGGCTTTAGAAAGAGCCAGAGCGATTGATTACTTCACATTGGCTTTTGTGTAGATTGGGTGGAGCAGTGGACTCTGGGATTACAGGCAGATAATGCCACCACAGTGAGGGTGTGGATCTGCCCACCAAAGCCATTCAGCAGTCACTTCAACACACACACATTTATTCATTATTTTGCCTCCTTAATCTCAGTTCTAGGTTTGGACGATACTTTGTAAGACTGAATGAATCATCTGAATGGTTTGCGCAGATAGTGCCACCCTCTACATGCAAATACGTTTGTAAAGAAAATTGTAGTTTAAGATGGAAAACGGTTTACATTTTAATAATATAATGTCACAATATTACTGTTTTTATTAAATAATTACAGCCTTGCTGAGACTTCTTTCAAAAACATTACAAAAAAGTTACGACCCCAAACTTTTGAATGGTAGTGTGTGTTTGTTGTCAGCTGGAAATTTCATTGATTGTTGTGTAAAAACTGGAGGGCTTCGAGGCTTCATGCTGTGGCTCGTCCTGCACTGAGGAGATTTGACTCAAGCTCATGTTCTCTCGATGAATTAGTCCGTTTACAAAGGACGGTTAAGAATGAGGACTTTGTATTTGCATAAAGAAGCTACATGAATGACAGCACCGTACTGTCAGTTAATAAACAAATAAGAATGCAAATAAACAAAACAACGAATAAATCGTGCGCTTGCTCAGTTGCTAAGAGCCGTGTGTAGTTTGGATCATATGACTATGACTATGAAGAATTTCTGGGTCCAATTTGAGCTTCGGATGTTTCAATATTTTGACTTTTGTGGCCAGACCATTAGTCTCAGACGTCATGTCCATGGATACTTTCTTAGTCGTCATATGATTGGTTGAATACTACAGGATGTCCGGGAGACGGTCCACCTGGAAACAAAGATGCCGTGACTCCAAACCCCCAAATGTAAGAAGCAAGCAGGCTGTCATTATAGGGTCATCAACTTTACATTGTCACGCCCTTAAACATGACGTGGAACAAAACAAACTGTGATTGGTTGCTTCACATGTCAGGCAGATGGCCTCTGGGTGGTCCTTGGCCAATGAAAGAAAGCTCTGGCTACGCAAGACTAGTAGACCATAACTATCTGACCGGATATATTGTAGAGCACTGAAATGTTCACTCCCTAATAAGTCACACAATGCACTATGAAAGCCAGGGAGCATCGATGCTCACCATGTTCCCTTAAAGGAGTAGTTCACTTTAAAAAAAACGTTTGCTGATAATTTACTCGCCCCCATGTCATCCAAGATATCCATGTCTTTCTTTCTTCAGTCGAAAAGAAATTAAGGTTTTTGATGAAAACATTACAGCATTTTTTCTCCATATAGTGGACTTCAATGGGAACCAAACGGTTCAATATCCAAAAGACAGTTTCAGTGCAAACTGTTCAAAGAGCATTAAACAATTCCAGATAATGAATAAGGGTCTTATCAAGCAAAACGATTGCTCATTTAATAAAAAAACAACAAAGTTTAAGTTTTATAAGCTCAAATGCTCGCCTTGCTCTGTTCTGTGATGTGCGTTCGTGACTCTCCTGTTCATCAAAATGAACAAATCTTTTTCCGTGTCATTTGGTTCATTCAACTAACAAAATGAACGAATTGACTCGGGAAAAGATTCTACCTCTTTTAATGAAAGTTGTGAAGCTTGAAACAAAAATCACGTGAGCCCAACTCTCAATGTGTAGTGAGTCGCTGTCCTTACCAGTGCCCAAATTAGTGTGCACGAGATACTGGTTCACAACCTAGGGAGCTGATTGAAATGCACCCGTAGAGACTTGTGGTGGGGCTTCTTTTTACTTTGCTTGGGTGAAAAGATGTGATAAGAAACCACACAGAACAATCACATAGCAATACATTAATACCCCATAGAGCATCAAAATGCAGCATTGCGGTAGTGAGTTTTGCATGGGACAGCACAACTTTTGTGTCATAAATCAAAGGTAGAGACTGCAGCAGTTAGATAGGGATGTATTTATGGCCCTGACTGGAGGAGGCATGTTCAAGTTAATGAAGCATCTCAGTCTGAATGCAGAGCAGCTGTTTCTGCTGATAACTCGCCATACGTCTTTTGTAACCTCATCACGGTAATGATTTGCAAGTGGCTAAAGGCGGGCATACACTGTGCGATTTTCGTCCGATTTTGAGCCGAATTCTGACTCGTGCGACTCATTTTCGTGTCGGACCGATTTTCAGCTTTGTCGTGCGTCGTTTGTCGTGCAGTGTTCGTGCAGTGTACAGGGAGAAACGAGAGGCGATTAACCTCTCACGATCGACAATCGGATGGTCGGATGAATTTCTGGCATGTCAGAAATTTTGGTCGCTCCTCGTGACTATATCGCACAGTTGAAGCAAAGCTACGAACCGATTGCCCTAAACTCAGTGTTTTTTCCCTCACTGCACCTGCGCGAAAACAGAAGTTTAACCATTTCATCTGCAGCAAAAATAAAATTAAAATAAAAACGAGCTACAAATTACTGTTGCTTACCTCCAGTTCGTGTTGCAAAATGGATAATACCCACCGTCTTCAAGCCACCTGATATGTAACACCTCTTTTATTATTTTGTCAAACAATGCTTTTGAAATAAACCTGTTTTTAATTTTCATTGATGATTAATAATGGCAATGTTCGGACATATTATAGACTGTTAATAGTTATTTTATATGTATATAATTCATTGTAATCGACCTAAATGTTTTAGACAATTTTTAATGAGGAGTAAGATTAATATTTTACTATCCTCACAGCACGTTGGTTGTGCTGTGAAAATATTGCGTGGCAAATTAATTATAATAGCGGATCAATTTAATAGTAAAATTAGCCTATAGGCCTCCCCTAATAATGATAATATAATAATAATAATAATTAAATGCATAAATTGAAAATACTAAATCATCTTGATACTGATAGCAGATGCTTGTTTTGACAATATCTCTGGATACATACACGTAAATAGGCGCAATCCAGGGGGTTATCGCAGATATTACACGTATAGTGTGAGCAGTGAAGTCGCAGCTCGACGATCGGACCGTACAGTGTGTGTGAGCACATAAATCCTGAACTTTGGCTTTGCATCGCATGCGATTTACTCGTTCAGTGTGAGTAGGTACCTTGCTGAAATCGCACAGACATCGCACAGTGTATGCCCGCCTTAATGGGCACCGAGCCTCTAACCACTTCTCTTCTCTCAGTCTTTCTGCCATAGTCAGTCATTTTACTCAAGCTTTAGTATTTTTGTAATTCATTCATTTTGTCTTCATCTCTGGGTTGAAATAATGGATGATAGCAGTGAATTCAAAGCAAAAACGCATTTGAACATTGGTAAAAGTGTGTGGTGAATGTGTTGTGTTTGTGTTTTTATTAATATCAGGGCTGTGCAAAGATTAATCACGAAAATAAAAGTTTGTGTTTACATAATATATGTGAGTGTATAATTATTTTGTATATATGAATACACACACATGCATGTATATATTTGTGTTATAAATACAAATGTATAAATGTTTATATATAAATGTATATATTTGTGTATAAAATGTATTAATTTATCAAATATTTATATATAATATTAATTATGTATAAATGTACATGCATGCAAATAATTATAAAATATATACATGCATGTGTGTGTATTTATATATACAAAATAATTATACACATACATACACACACACATATATTATGTAATCAAACTTTTATTTTGGATGGGATCGTGATTAATCTTTGCACAGCCCTAATTAATATCATAAATAGTTTAAATTTATGTGATCAGTGATTTGTTTTTGAGACACTTTCTCAACCATAAATGTTGCAAAATTCTGCTTAATTTTATTCTTAAATTGAATACTTGATGTCCTTTGCCATATTACAGATAAGCAAGTGAAAAATTCCAGATATACATATTTCAAAATGTCTGCAATCATTAGACCAAATGCACATACTGTCAGGGTCAAAGCTTAATGCTGCAGTGTTGAAAGATCCTTTATCCCACTCTGGCTGTTACCTGGCTTAGCCTGTAAAAATAAAAGGGATTTTAGAAAGGTTGTTCATGCGGCATTTACTGCGACAAAGTGCTAGCTTTGGCGGCAGTAGCTGAGGAATGCTAAGCATTTCTACTGGCTGCTACAATTACTGTAATTGCTGCCTCAAGATGAAATTATAAAGCCCACCTCGGTCAGAAATTTTAAATTAATCCATGTTGTAACTAAAAACACGTATGCTCAATGTTCAATGGCGGTCTGTCTTAATAATTATGAAATTCCAGAGCATATTGAATTGAAATGCCTGTGCTATAGTGTTCATAATGGTGTTTTATGGTATGTGCTCACAACATCAATGCAATATTAATCTAGTCAAAGAAATTACTGATAGATAGATAGATAGATAGATAGATAGATAGATGGATGGATGGATGGATGGATGGATGGATGGATGGATGGATATAGATAGATATGGATGGATGGATATAGATATAGATGGATAATTTATATACAGATTCAGATTAAAAAATATATAAATACAGATATATTTCGATGTATATAAGACCAAAAAACAAAAGTTAAGTGAAAACATGCATGTTAAGTCAATCTTAATCTTCAATCTTGCAGGCCAATCTTGGTCTTTTGCTTTATTATTGTGTCTGAGTGCTATCTATACTTTCCATTTCAGACGTCAGTTTTGTGTAAAGCAGCGGTGCATGCTGGGGTCATCATGGACCAGTTTGGAGGACCAATCACAGTGGAGGAGCGCCGAGGGCTCAGTCACTACCCTGCGGTCAGAGCCAACGGCGTCCAGTCAAAAGAGTGAGTTCCTGTAGGGGTTTCTCTTGTTTCTAGGCTTTCTACAGACAGTAGAGTGTTGGCGCTTGCAACGTCAAGGACATGGGTTCGATTCCCAGAGAAAGCAAGAACTGATAAGAATGTAAATGTGTACCTCGAAATGCAATGTAAGTGACTTTGGATAAAAGCGTCTGCCAAATGCATAAATGTAAATGTTCTTAATGACAGAAACTTTATCATGATTGCCTTTATATTCTTAGGTGGGTTAGACATCAGCATGTGGGCTTTCCTTGTACATGAAAAAAGTTGACATTTATGCATTTACTATGGAAGGCAAATGCGCATCTGTTGCATAGATCATAAATCATCTATCTTCAGTGCATTTCTATCAACATGTTTATTTGTTGTAAGTTTGCCAGGGAAAACGGTTAGATTACAGATAGAAAAATCGCAATAGTCTGTCTTACAAATTCCCATACAAGTCACAACATGTCTTATTCTGGTGCTTCAACTAACGGCTGTGGCTGAATGTGACCTTGGTTCGTTCTCTAGCCGTGCAGCAGTTATTATTAAGTGGCGATTCCTGCTTTCTTTAGCGTGATGGACGGTTTAGGTAGTACCTAATGTCAGGGACACTGTCTGGACTGCTGGTCTTTCAGAGATTTGTCACCAGGGAATTGGGGGCAGGTTGAGAAGGAAATCTAGATTGCCTCTTGTTGTAGTCTCTGAGGAGTGTTTGAAGTGTTCATTGACGAGTGATTTATTTAGAGGACAACGGCAGCTCTCTAGAGCCAGAAATACTTTCTATGATCCAATTGAAACCTAAACACAACAAATCCACTCTATACAGATATTTTCTTTCTTTTCTTTTCTTTTCTTTCTTTCTTTTTTTAATGGTTAAGTACCTTTAGAAATAGGAAAATTAAATGGTGAAAACAGGAAAGGATTAGCAGGAGAGGAAGAAAAGGGGGATCAGGAAATGATGCAGGTCAGACTCAAACTGGTGTCAGACAAATAACCAGTACGGTTTAGTCCTGTGCTTGTTCTTGACAATGGCTCCCTAAAAGTAAGCTAAGGATGTATTTACACTGCAGGTCTTGATGCCCAATTCCGATTTGTTGACTACAGAGCGCGGAAGTGATGACGTCACAATTCGGAAGCTAGCGGCGCATGAGTTCCCTCGATTGAAAAGCAATGCATTTTCCCAATAGACTTTTGGAAAATCACAAAAAATAAGATCTGTGTTTAACAAAGAGTTGTGACCCTTACACGTTTTGTCTATCAAGATAATCTTTACAAGTTAATCCAAAACTTATACATTTTGAAGCATATATAAAGTTTTTTTTAAAAACACAAGCAGACACAATAAAGTTTAAAAAACACAAGGTTATAACTGTGTGTTCTATGTCATAGATCAAAACGTGAAAATATTTAGAGGCTTTGTTCACCACAGACCTTATTTCAGGTGATTTAGCAAAAACCCATAGACTAATGGTGCGTTCTATTATAGCCAACGAACCGACTCGGACCTCGGATTTGACGTCACGTCCACACTTCAAGCGTTCTATTTGTTTTGCGCGTCCGAGTCGGAGAAAAAAATGGACGCCACCCGGAAAGCTGTTATAATGGTAGCACTGGCCGAGTACCAGGCACTTACATAAAAAAAAAAAATTATTATGACTACACCTTATTAAAACGCAGCCATTTGAACTTGAAAATGTTCACTTTATTAATGTTTTTCATGTTAATCTTCTGTTAGCAACGCTAGCAACGTCAGTAATTGCACTCACAACAACCGATTCCCATACCTACAGGGGACACAGTAATACGAGTGTGATTATAGCCGTCATTTAAAATACCAAAGCGGTTCAAAAACAATGAAAACAATTCATTCTTACAAGTCACAGGGCGCAGCCATCTTGAATTCCGAAACGGAATTCTTGCTCGGTGTCCGAGAGGAGAAATCCAAAGAAAGGGGGCGTGTTGCTAGGCAACGTCTGTCGTCCGATTCGGATCTCCGAGACGGATGAATAATAGAACGCACCATTAGAGCGAGGAAACCGGTAGTGCTAAAATGCTAACTCACTTCCGCGTTTGGCCTACAGAGTGACGTCGTAACTTCAGCACTTTATATTCAACATTTTTTTTTTTTGGGACGACCAACTTACAGCTTTTTTTAAAAGTGACCCATATCCGATATCTGCATTTAGACTATACATACTGGTATGGAAAAACTAAGGCCGAAAAGGAAGTCAAAACGCCATGAAAAACATTGACTTGAACCTTCGTCCTCCTTTGTGCCATTGAAAAGAGTCATGATGAGATCATGGTTGGTGTTCACCTGAGTTGATGTAATTCGCCACCGTATTAATTGTGTAATATAATTATTATTTTTCATATTATTTAACTAAACTGAACTAATAAATAGTAATAGTGTTGCTTTTACTAGCAAGCATCACAAAACATAAGTCATTTGAAAGATGCATGTGAACCTGGTGAAGTTGCATCTTTGCCATTAGTTGCCATTCATTTCTCAAACCATTTGATTAGTGAAACTAAATCGATTATCTGTACTCTAAGACGATTATGTTGATGATGTAACAGTTTTCAGGGTGCCTGAATAACGACCATCAATATCACTTCCTGTAATTACATTGCTAGGGTTTAATCTCATGTTTTATTGCTGTGCTTTTAAAACCGTTATTTCAATCTGCCGACTGTGATCAGCACTTGATTCATTTTGCTTTTGATTTTATTAGATTATATTTCTGTCACCAGCAGTTTAGTGCTTGTATTTCCAGTCTTCAGACTTTTTTGTTGTTGTTGTTTGCACAGCATCCGCTATATATCCTATTTCAGTTTGTTCACGCTGTCGTAAACCGCTTTGTACCCTGAACTCTGAAACGGTTTGCTGAACTGCCATAAAAGTAATGAAAAAGTAATCACATCCAGGAAGCCTGTGAAAATGACAGGTTTCTAAGTAATGGCTGACAGAGATGCAATTTCCCAGCCTGTTCCCCTATAATTACCAGCACACGGCTCTTTTCACGGGCCCAGCTGTACCCCAGTTCTGTCAGAGGGGGAGATGCGGGATCCAGGGATGGAGATCCTCTGAAATTGACAATGGGAATCTCCCTCTTGGCCTCTGTAGGCGTTACTTTCACATGACAGGGCTTTAATTAATCACTGTAGTAATGATCTTTTGTGTCTAAAACACTCAGTGCTCACTGATATCTTTGTTTTTCTCTCTCTTTCAGTGGCTCGTTGTCTGAAACCCTCTTCACGTTTGTGACAAACGGTAAGCACTTTTGTTTTTAGTTCAGTGGTGATGTCCATATTGGTGTGGGATTAATCCTATTATATCCTGGACCGTGGTGACATTGATTGGTTTTCGGCCCCTGCTGTTATTCCTGCTGCCGTTGTGTGTTGCAGTTTTGTTTGACTGGTATATTTGCACCTCTGCTAAAAAGGAAGTAGCTTAATTACTATGTGGCAGTCTAACAGGTTTTTTTTTTTTTTTTTTTTTTTTTTTACCAGTTCGGATATGTGAAGCCCTTTTTGTACTGTATCAGGGTGAATGGAAGGCGTGGGAATATCCTATCACCTGAGTTTGTTTTTCTCTCACTGTTTGAGTCCGGCACAGACCGGTTGTCATTTACCTGTGCGGACGCGCCAATGAATCAAATTACTAAAACGTTATGCATGTGCCAACACTTGATCCAAATGTTCGTTTTCCACTATTGTGCGGAGGGTTGAATTGAGAGTGATTTGCAAATTCTTGACTTGAATTTTTTTTAATTTGGTAAAATAAAATATTTAAATTACTTTTTTTGGTATTTAATTGATATTTTTCATTAATTAAAATTTATTTCCATTTTTTTTCCCCTTCCAAATGGAAGAACACTTAATTTCCCAGAATGCACTAATTTACTCAATATTGTAATGAATTTATAGACACATTTTTGTCAGTATTTATTTTTTATAAAGTTATGCAAATTAATTTAGTTAATTTTGACACTATTTAACTTGAAATTACTCACCCTCATGTCGTTCCAAACGTGCATTCATTCTTCTTCAAAACACAAATTAAGGAGTTTTAAATGAAATCTGAGAGCTTTCTGTCTTTTCCCTTCATTGACGGCCTACGCAACTAACATTTTCATTAGACAGACATCATTAAAGTAAACCATGTGACTCCAGTGGTTTAATCTCAGTTTTATGAAGTGACGTGAATGCGTTGTTTGCGCCAAAAATGACAAACATAATTTACCACTTTATTTGCAAAATATTAATATCCAATGTGCGTTCATGAGAGCACCACAGTGCATGCATGTTATGTTGGCTCAACAGCTGTGGTGGAGATTAATATTATAAATAAATTGGTTAAAAAAAAAAAAGCACTCGCATCACTTCATAAAACTGAGGATAAATCACTGGAGTCGCATGGTTTACTTTAATAATCTCTTTTTTTCTGGCTTGAAATCGGTAGTTGCGTAGGTTGTCAATGGAAGGACAAATCTCTCAGGTTTCGTTAAAAAGATCTTCTTTTGTATTCCAAAGATGAAAAGTCTTACAGGTTTGGAACAACACGAGGATGAGTAATTAATGACAGAATTTAAATTTTTCCGTGAATAAACCCTCTAATATGTTTTTTCTCAAAATAAATTTTTTCTTCAGGATTAGTAAAAAATAACGAGTTGGACTAATGAAATTCCACTGTTTTGTGACTGTTGAATGTCTACATTTCGGTCAAATCAAAATCTTTCCATGGGAAGCAACTTTTTTTAATTCTATCTAGGAGTGTAACAATATATCATGTCACAATACTGTATATGGCAATACTAAAATGCATCAATATGCATCGTGGATAGTGACAATACGTATTGTGTATAATTCACCCAAAATGAAAATTTCTGTGAGGAAAAAATTTAAGTTTTCAAATTCCATTTTTAGAGTACTACATTAAACCATTATATATAATGTTGAATATAATGTATAGTAATGCAATGGTGGGAATAGTTGTGGGTGCTGGTAATGCCAAATGTCTGATGTTATCAGTAAAAAGTGGCCTAAATTATTTTAAATATATCTAGTCAGTGAAAGAGTGCAACAATATTCGTCTAAAATAAGAATATAGAATCATAAATCATTGTTATTCTGGTCTCTCTATTGTCCTGTATTGGGTTTCCAGAAGTCCAACCCTATCCATTTACACCCACAATGTAATTTTAATCAACAGCACTTTTTTTGTTAACCTTTTATTATATGTTTTAGAGTATAGCAATAATATCGTTCAGTATCATGATCGTGACATGAGGGAATCGTTACACCCCTAATTCTATCTATTCTATCAATGGGCTCTATGCACGGTGGTATTTCCGGTGAAGGTGTAAGGATGCTCGATAACTTCCGCCGATCGTAGAGTCCAATACAATACCGAGAATTTATATTGAATTTTATACTCCATGGTTATACTAAAGAAACGTTAGTCACAAAAAACAGATAAAACAGACACCCCTCGTTGTGTTTATGCTTCTTTTTAAAATTATATTAAATAAACATAACTATATATAAAATTACATCTAAACGTATGTATGTTTCGTTTCAAAGACGGGAGGACAGTACATTTTGAAGACTCTGCCATAATCCCGTTTTCCTCGGTTTTCCTCCGCTTTAATCTCCACAACAGGAAATGGACGAGCATCCTTGCGTCAAATGCGGAACTTATGCGTGCATATAGCCCATTAAAAGTGACCCTAAAATCTGCATTTTGTCCAACACATGAACCTTCTCTCATTACTACTTTGGGTGCACAAGAGTAGTCCGCTACATTATTTTGTACTGACAACCTGGATACATTGGTTACTGTTTGCTTTAGTGATTCACACACACAAGCTTTAGTCAGTTGTTCTTATAGATTTATGGAGGTACCTTTTCAGATCGATGTGACCCTAATCTCTTCTGGTCAGAAGTGGATCTGTGTTCAGTCAGTGTGCGTTGTTGATGTATTGCAGGGGTTCCTGATGACAGGAGTTGATAGATGTGTGGTCAACAGTCAATGCATATCAATTGATTCCCATTAATCCAATTATCTTAAAGCACAGCCGTGCACCAAGCAATGACTGCTACCCTACCCTCACTTACCCCACAGCTTGATGCTAACACTCGCAAAAAGTATGTGACAAGGGAGCTCAGGAATCAAGATGCAATTTTATGACGTTATACGTCTTACTAAACACTCAAATGTGTGCACAGTGAAGTCCAGATACTATGTTGAAATCTGAGATTGAAAATCCTGTTCAAACCTGAATTTTGAATCAAGAAACATTGACATTAGGCCTTATACAATATTTAAGTTTCTTTGCTTTTTCTAGGTAGTAATAAAACATTTGAAAAGAAAAACAAAAGCATTTTCTCTAGTGTTGTTCATAGACTTTTGGATCCCACTGTACCAATGAGATTGCAGAAACTTCAATGGGAGGATCTTTTCCGACCTCCTGTCGGGATTCTTCTTGTCTTCTTCCTGAGTTTCCTCTGCCCACATATGTTAAATGTGTGGAATGTGATAGTGTTGGCCAAATCAGGGCTAAGCAACAGGATGTATTGGCCCTGTTTTTCTCTCTTTAAAGGAAGTGGGAGCCTTCCCCCCTCTTTTATTGTAATATCGTTGTGTTGTTCATAGCACATACGTCTCCATTTAACTGTACACATGGTCGTTATTTTAAGAGCTCAGGGCTTCCTGTTGAGTCAATGTACACGTAACTGGGTTTTTGCGCCACATGTGCGTTTTATTATGTCAAAAGAAAGCACTAGACATGACTATATAACTAACATTACTCTTTTGATGTTTTTAATGTTTTTTTTTTTTTTTTTGGTTTTTCATTTTATTATTAAAGGTTTTTGTTCAGATGTTACCATCACCAAGATATCTGACACTTATACTTGCATTCAAAAGGTTTTTTTTGTTTAAGTCTCTTAGGCTTACGATTTTTGATGCATTTATTTGATCAAAAATACAGTAAATTTTTTCTATTTATATATATTTTAAAATGTAATTTATTATTGTGATGCAAAGCTGAATTTTTTTCATCGTTATTCCAATTTTCAATGTCACATGATCCTTCAGAAATCAATTTAAAATGCTGCTCAAGAAACATTTATTATTAGTGGTGCTTGCAAAGCAACACTATTGTTATCCTGCATACTTATTAGTGGTGCTTGCTGAAAGCAAGGCAACACTATTACTATTGTGTTTTTTGAGTCGGCCCAAAAGTTTGGCACGCTACTCCTCCCGCAGTTTTTGTCACACACCCATGAATGAGGTCTCAAAACGTGCGGAATATTCGGGAATGGTGTGCTATGACTTTTCTAAGCGATCGGGGGTACGATGTTCGCCCGAAGGGCGAACAAATTTCCCAAAAATCCCATAGACTTAACATTGCGACAAACTTTGACGACTCGTAGCTCCGAGCGAGGATTTCGCAGAAGCCTGCGATTTACCACATTTGAAGAGGCTGACAGGCTCTGTAAGAACATACCTCACAATGGGGTAAAAGTTGCACCCCTGGGGGGCAGGAGCTGCCCAAATTTTCCCCCATTGACCCCAATGTTATTTATTATTAGTGGTGCTTGCTGAAAGCAAGGCAACACTATTACTATTGTGTTTTTTGAGTCGGCCCAAAAGTTTGGCACGCTACTCCTCCCGCAGTTTTTGTCACACACCCATGAATGAGGTCTCAAAACGTGCGGAATATTCGGGAATGGTGTGCTATGACTTTTCTAAGCGATCGGGGGTACGATGTTCGCCCGAAGGGCGAACATATTTCCCAAAAATCCCATAGACTTAACATTGCGACAAACTTTGACGACTCATAGCTCCGAGCGAGAATTTCACAGAAGCCTGCGATTCACCACATTTGAAGAGGCTGACAGGCTCTGTAAGAACATACCTCACAATGGGGTAAAAGTTGCACCCCTGGGGGGCAGGAGCTGCCCAAATTTTCCCCCATTGACTCCCATGTTATTTATTATTCTTCTTATTATTATTCTGGCCACTTTTTGGTTCGCTACTCCTCCCGCAGATTTTGTCACAGACCCATGGGTGAGGTGTCAAATCGACCGGCTCATTTAGGAGAGGTGTGCTATGACTTTTCTAAGAGATCGGGGGTACGATGTTCGCCCCAGGGGCGAAAAACAGCCAAAAAAAATCCCATAGACTTAACATGGCGAAAAAATTTGACGAGTCATAGCTCTGAGCGAGGATTTCGCAGAAACTTGCAATTTACCACATTTGAAGAG